TTTTCACTCAGGAGTGAGTCTCAGACTCTGGGCTACAGATCCGGGCGAGTCTCTAGGGACCCAGACTCAAACGGGAGAAGCGGGACTGTCTGGCTACGGCCCCTCCGAGGTTTGCAGCGATTGCTGGGACAGAGAGGCAGAGCCCTTGGGGACAGACTGAGAGCGGCCATAGCTGCTCCCTCCCCCCGCCTGTTGAGCCCGCCCCGCCCAAGCACTGCGCACAGACATTTGCCGATCGCCTCAGGCAAGGGCAGGACTAGCGCCTCCCCAGAATCCTACAGCCAGTCGGTCTGCTGGTCAAATCCCTCTAGTGTTAACTACAACAATTAAGGCTTGGCTAGAACAAGACTGCGCACAGAGACCACAAGGGGGTGCACCAAGAAAGCATAAAAGATGCGGAGACAAAAAAACATGACAGAAATGGAGGATATGGAGCTAAGAATCGCAATTTTGAGGGCTTGCCATAAATTTGTGCAGAGCCTCACGAAAACTAATGAGACCCTCGATGCTACGATAAAGAAATTAGAAAGTAAGCATACACGGACTGAAATAAAGAATATTATACCCAATAGCAGACCAGACGAGCACAAGAATCAAACCAAAGATTCGACAAAAAACACCCAATTGGAAAAGCAAAATGAAAAAAGAATCCGAAAGTGTGATGATAGTGTAAGGAGCCTCTGGGACAGCTTTAAGCGGCCTAATATCAGAATTATTGGAGTGCCAGAAGATGAGAGACAGCAAGATATTGAAAACCTATTTCAAGAAATAATGGCAGAAAACTTCCCCCATCTGGAGAAAGAAATGGACTTACAGGTCCAAGAAGCGCAGAGAACCCCAAACAAAAGGAATCCAAAGAGGACCACACCAAGACACATCATCATTAAAATGCCAAGAGCAAAAGACAAAGAGAAAATCTTAAAAGCAGCAAGAGAAAGAGGCTCAATTACCTACAAGGGAATACCCATACGACTGTCAGCTGATTTCTCAACAGAAACTTTGCAGGCCAGAAGGGAATGGCAAGAAATATTCAAAGTGCTGAATACCAAGAACCTACAACCAAGATTACTTTATCCAGCAAAGCTATCATTCAGAATTGAAGGTCAGATAAAGAGCTTCACAGATAAGGAAAAGCTAAAGGAGTTCATCACCGCCAAACCAGTATTATATGAAATGCTGAAAGGTATCCTTTAAGAAGAGGAAGAAGAAGAAAAAGGTAAAGATACAAATAATGAACAACAAATATGCATCTATCAACAAATGAATCTAAGAATCAAGTGAATAAATAACCTGATGTACAGAATGAACTGGTGATTATAATAGAATCAGGGACATAGAAAGGGAATAGACTGACTATTCTTGGGGGGAAAAGGGGTGTGGGAGATGCGGGAAGTGACTGGACAAAAATCATGCACCTATGGATGAACACAGTGGGTGGGGAGTGAGGGTGGAGGGTGGGGTGGGAGCTGGAAGGAGGGGAGTTATGGGGGGAAAAAAGAGGAACAAATGTAATAATCTGAACAATAAAGATTTAAAAAAAAATATCTGTAAGAGTTAGGCAGAAGTTGATAGAGAATAAAACATCTCTTAAAATAAAAAAAAAAAAGATTATATAACCATCACCACCATCTATTTCCACAACCTTTTCATTAATTCAAACATTCTGCATCTATTAAACAATAACTCCCCATTGTCCTCTCCTCCCAGCCTTCTACCTGTATGAATTTGCCTAATTTTGGTACCTTATATAAATAGAATCACAATATTTATTCTTTTTTCTGATTTTAAAAAAATATTTTTGTTGTTGTTAATCCTTACCTGAGGATATTTTTCCCAGCGATTTTGAGAAAGAGAGAGAGAAAGAGAGAGAGAGAAAGAGGGAGAAACATGGATCAGCACCAGGGATCGAGCCCTAGGCATATGCCCTGATTGGGAATCGAACTGGGAATCTTGGCCAGGTCCAATATTTGTTCTTTTGTGTCTGGCTTTTTTCACTTAGTATAATGTTTTCAAGGTTTGTTCATGTGGTAGCATGCATCAGAATTCCATTCCTTTTTATGGCTGATGATATTTGAGTTTATTAATTCATTTGTCCAAAAAAATATTTATTGAGCATTTTGTTTAGGATCAAGCACTGTTCTAGGCATTATTGATATAGCAATGAACAAAATTATACAAATAAGCAAGTGAATATATTGTATGTCAGATGGCAATAAGTGGAAAACCAATATTGTAGTGATAGCTGAATAGAAAAGGAGATCTTAGAGGTAGGGTGGGGCCATTCACATAGTGCCTTGAGGGCTAGTGTAAGAACTTTGGATTTTACTCTGAAATAAGAAGCCAATAGAAAGTTTGAAGTTGTAGAGTGCCATCATCTGACCTACGTTTTGAAGGCTACGTCTGGCTTCAGTATTGAAACTGTACTACAAGGGAGAATGAGGCAAAGGAGGAGAAGAAGTACCAGTTATGAGGCTATCCTAATAGTCCAGGTAAAAGATGATAAAACCTATAATAGAGTGTATTAGTCAAGGTTCTCCAGAGAACCAGAACAAATAGAACATACTGGAGGCTGGCAAGTCTGAAATCTGTAGGGCAAGTCAGGAGGTTGAACACTCAGTTGGGGTTTCCATGTTTCAGTCTTGTTGCCAAATACCTTCTGAGGGAGAATCTATCCCATGCCTCATCCTGGCTTTTGGTGTTGCTGGCAATCTTTGACATCCCTTCCCCTGTCGATGCACCACTGTGACCTCTGCCTCCACCTTCACATGTACATGTCTGTGTTTAAATTTCCCCCTTTTTTTAAGGACACCAGTCATGCTAGATTAGAGGCCCACTGTACTCCATTAAGGATGCTTCCTTTAAGAAATGGTACTATTTAGGAGCAAATGAAAACTTTCAATGTGCCTTTCAAGGGATGAGACTTTGTATTGATTTGGGGCATTGTGATTTTTCTGCTCTGCATGGTTCAATAGCCAACATGATTAATCAGGGAAGCGAACATTCCATCAGAATAAAGTATTCCCTAAGTCATTTGATCCCTAAGGACCAGTGCTTTCAGGGACACAGATTCCAAGATGATTCCTTTTCTTTCTTTCTTTCTTTCTTTCTTTCTTTCTTTCTTTCTTTCTTTCTTTCTTTCTTTCTTTCTTTCTTTCTTTCTTCTTCTTCTTCTTCTTCTTTTTTTTTTTGTAGCTAATATCTTTGAAATCCTCAGACTGTCATCTAGAATCGAGAGGCCTAAAAAAAAAGGAAAGATCAGCATCGAGGGCAGATGAAGGTCTTTCCTCAGATAGATTTGCTCAGGTAGGACTTTGTGGCTGCGTTAATATGGTGTAGCTCTGCCCTTGCTAGAAGGACCAAAAGAAGTAAATGGATTGTCACACCCCCACTACTTAGAGCCAGAATAGGGGAGAGGCTGCTGATCTGGAGGGAAAAGATCAATCTAGGGAAGGGTGAAAGGAGAATGTCTCCTGAAGAGTAAAGGAGCCCGGGCTTTGGGTTTCTAGGGCTGAGTCTGGGATTGTAATTCTGCCTGGACATTTCCTCCGTCTCCCTCACTAGTGTCTCTGTCTTGAAGCGCAGGACCGAAACAAAATGCCTAATGAAGCATGGGAAGAAGGCGGGGGGGGGGGGTGTTTGCAAATGTCTTAGAAAGAAGGTCTGGGGCAAGAGGAGGAGAGAGGAGTCAGAATACAGGTTCACACATTTTCACAAAACCATTTGGAAACAGAGATGGAGACGCAAATTCAGGGACCCGCGAAAGGCCCAGGAAGGTGTGGTGGAGGCGGGTGTGTGTCGAAGAAGTGTACCTGCCACTCACTTTCAGCGTTTTCTGCTTTGTCCAAGCCCTTGTGTGATGGCCGGTCAGGAAGGTCATGGGGAGGCTCAGTCAAGCTCTGAGTCGCCGGGGAATGAGCTGATCCTCTCTTAACTTCCTTGGCTTAGAGTCGCCCGATGCCCACCTCACTGAGGTTAGTGAGGCCGCGTGGCACAGCGCTCGGGCGAGGCACTCACAGCTACTGCCGCTGGCCTGCCACCCCCACATCCGCCATCCCAAACCCCGCAGGTGCGCACCAGGTTAGCCGAGACCCGCCCAGGTCCAGCGGCCCCAAAGCTGCCGAGCTCGTTTGGGGTCAGCTGACTCCCACCCCAAACCCCAGCCAAAGGGGCGAATCCCTTGTCCTCCTGAGATGAACGCTGGGCACCAAGGCAGGCTCTGAGACGTTTTCGGAATCGCTCTTGTCCCGCCTCCGGAGCTCCCAGCAACAACCGCTAAAATAAAGGTGCCATGCCAGAAAGCGGGGGAGGGGACGAGAAGAATGAAAATACTAGGAGAACGACCTCATTCTCCAGGAAAAAGTAATGAGGGGAAATCAAACAGTATGGACTTACTCGGAAATGCAAACCGAGCTCCAATCTCCCCCAGGGCGCATACAAACGAACTAAAGACAAATCAGCCAACGCGCTAGGCAGCTTCCCAGAAAGGGCCTCATGAATGAGAATGGGTTGCTAGGTTTCCTCCCTCCCTCTTGACAATCGCTTCCCACAAAACTTCCACCAAGGAAAGAAAACATGGGGGACTTGGCAACTGCAGAGCGGTGGAACCGCGCCAAGCCGTCTTCAGGACCCTGGAGAGCGGCCGCTGTGCCCTGGAGACCGCGCCACGCCACGCCACGCCACGCCACGCGAGCCTCGCCCCCTCGCGCGAGCCCAGCCTTCCTGCCCTGCTTCCCTCCTCCACCTCCATTTTTCTTGGCAAGGGCCACTCCAGCTTTTCACAATCAGATTAAAGTGCCTTTTTGTTTTTGTTTTGCTTGAGGAGGCTGTTTGGATTGGCTGAGCTAGATTCCGGTTTGAAACTTCACTAAACATCAGTGGACCAAGAAGTCCTGAGAGCTTTTCAAAAATGAGAGCCTAGATAAGGCAGGTGACGTTAAAAAACCGCCGAGTTCAATCCCTTTACTTTATAAATGAACCAGATAGTCTCAAAGAGTAAAGAGACTTTCCCAAGGTGAGCCTTGGTCAAGTTGGTTGCAAGTCTGAGCCCGGGACCCTGGACTTCTAACTTCTAAATTAACACTTCCCTCTACTTTCCAAGGGGGAAAAAAGTAAGGATCTTATCTTCACCCTGGCCGCTTAGGTCTCCTGAGCAACAAGTGGAAGGTGGAAAGGCCTTTGTTCCGGAGAATAAGATGGACACACGAAGTGTGTGAAGAGTACCTGCAGCGTGTACACCTAAGGGACCCAGCACAGCTCTGGTCTGCCATCCCACCGACACCACCCAGCACAACCAAAGTCAGTTCAGCCAGGCCCTTTCTCCCTCCAGCACGAGATGGATCTGGAATCCCAGACACCTCTCCCAATGGAAATTGGTAACCAATTCCACCTCTGTACCTCTGGAGGGTAGAGTTCTACATGGTAAAGGACAGAGAAAGAGAGGGGATGAGAGATAGAAGAGCAAGAGATGCAAAAGTGAACTAGGAGATTTTCACCCAAATTCTAAAGAATCAAGAGATGTGCACACAGACCCTTCTATACACTGCATTTCACATTTACCGAACCTCCTGAGAATGTTAATGATGCAGTAGGTCTGGTAGAGTCCACGATTCTGCATTTTTAACGATTCTGCATTTTTAACAAGTCCTTGTTAGCGAAGCTGCTGCTCCAAGGACCACACTTTGAATAGTGCAGAGTTAGAAAGAGGGGAGAAGGGAGAGAGGGAAGTGAAGAAAGAGGGAAGAAAGTGGGGAAAGGAAAGTAAGGGGAAAGACCTTTCCTTTTGCTCTCGCCAACCTTCTCTAGCATCCCCAAAGTAATCCTATATAATAAAGATCAAATATGCTAATTAGACCGAACAGCCGAACGACCTACCAGTCGTCCTTCCAGAGAAAGCAGGGGCTGCGAGGGCCAAGCCCCTTGCACGAATTTCTTGCATCGGGCCTCTAGTGCTGTAATAAATGGCACCCAGCACGTTTTCTCCAGTCTGTATTTGGCTGGGCCCATCAGTAATGGTGTGCTGGTTTTGTTTCCTTCCCCCACCTCTCGCCCTTCCCTTCTCCGGCCCTGCACAGATCCCAGATTCACCCGCGGCCCCGAAGCTGCTCAGCCTCCTTTCTAGCACGCTCTCCAACCTCGCGCGGCTCTTCTCTCACCTGCTCCGGAGACCCCCTCCTGAGGCTCTCCAGCGGCGCCCGGACTTCTCTCTCCTGCTTCCCTCCCTGCCAGTGGCTGGACTCGCTCCAGGGCGCGAGGAGCGGCGGGGCCGCCTCTCGCTCCTGCTCGGGGCAGCTCTGACACTGCCTGGCCGACCCTCAGGGGGACGGTCGCCCCGGGAAGAGGATGCCAGCGCTGGGCAGCCCTCGTCCATGCCCGTGAGTACCGTTGACTCCACCGTGCCCAACCCTGGCCTCATCCCCAGCTCCTTCCTAACCCCCACTGAGCCACTCCACGCGGGTCTAACAGGGGCTCCGGCCAGGCCAGCAAGCAGAGACAGGCTGAGCACGTTCCAGGAAAAGTCGCGGGTGACTCGCCTGACACCCCTCCCTTCAGGAAACCCTCGGAGCTACTTTTTCCTGGGCCATTGACTTCCAGGGTCCTTGGAAGCGGGAGGAAGCCCTGATCCTTCCTGAGGCTGCTTCTCAAACTCTGTTTCTCGGCGCGTCGCTTTCCTCCCCTCCTCCCAGCCTCCCTCAAAGGGGCCTCCGCCCCCTTCTTGCAAGCCCACTCCCCTGCCCTCCGGCTGCTGCGGGCTGGAGAGGCCGGGGAGGAAATGACGTGATGTTATTTTTGTGTCAGGTCAGCTTCCAGCTTCAGTTTAGCCCTTGGAGCTCGGGCCCAGGCAGCCCAACTGCATCTCGCTCCCGAGGGCAACCTGGGGACCAGAGGGACGCTCGGCGATCCGTGCCCGCAGAGCTGGCGACAAGGTTCCTCCTCCGCTCTCGGGCCCCCGCCCCTCCCTTATCCCGGATTCTCGAGTCCCCTGGGAACGGAGGGAGGCTGTGGAGGGTCTTGGCAGGATCCGGAGCCGGGAGATAGCCCTTCCTGCCGTCGTCCCCCGCACCGCCCCCCCAATAGGTGGGGCCTCTGGCTCCCGCTAGCAGAGAGTGGGCGCGGAGCCCCCTTCCCAGCGCGGGTGGGACAGCTAGAGACGGAGGCTGCACCGAGGTGGAGAGCTCCAAGGAGCATCCTGGGAAAGGGAGAAGGTAGGAGGCTGCCCTCCAGAGGCGGGGCAATCCACGGCAAGATTTTCCAGGGACTGAGCAATCCCTCCTTGTGCTGCACATCCCGACACACGCACCTCTCTCTTCATTCACAAGGTTGGAGCACGCATTCCCGCACGCTGGGGTCTCGCTGGGCCTCTACGCGCCGAAGCGTAGGGATCACAGAGGGGGACTCTGCTCATACCCTCGGCGCCCGCCTTGCTTCGCACCCACACTCTCATCACTTCCCAATACCGGGCTAAAGGACCGAGGCTACGGTCCGGGCGTGGATTGGGTCCCGCGTGGGGCCTGGGGCGACCCCCCGCCAGCCCACCGCAGCGGAGCGAGCGGCCACCAGAGGGAGGTGGTGAGACCTGGGATTACCCGCTGGGGAAGGAGGCAGAGCCGAGAGAGGGAGAAGGAGGGAGAAGTGGGCGAGAGGAAAGACCCAGAGCCAGAGGAAGAGGAAAGCCGGAGAGAGCAGTCGCGAACATGGAAAGCACATCGTTTGGTATTATTTAAATAAGAGTAATATTGGTAGTAATAATACGCACGGCCGACCGAGGCGAGCCTGCCGGAGCTTCCCCTCGGGCTCTCCAGGCGGAAGGTGGAATCGTGAGTACCCAGCCTCCTAAACCTCCGGTCTACCTCTCGGGCTCGCCCTAAGACCTCGGGCGGGGAAGTGGCCCTGGCCAAGCCGGGCGCGCGCGGGGCAACACCTGGAGCGCTCAGCCTGGCCACATGGCGCGAGCGGGTGCGGGTCGGTCGCCTACTCCGCGGGTACAGCCGGGCTCAATAGTCAGCGCGTATTGGGGAGGTGTGCGGCTTTAGGGTGTGCCGGTGTCTCCAGGGGGGAAGTCTAGCCACCAGAATCAAGTTCCATCGGGTCTGCCTGGGCGTAAGCCGTTTTCAGCCTCTTATGGCCTGGGGTCAGTGAGTGGGTGCGGGGCGCGGCGCCTAGTCCTTGGGGCCTGAATGCATATGGGCACCCGCAGTGTCTTTGGGAAACTCCAGGCGGGTGGAAACGTGGGCGTTCTCCCCGGACAGCGAGGACTGGGAAGGGGCCGGGAGCCGGAGGCGGGCTGGTTGAGCGCAGGTGGAAGGGAAGAGGAGACACTCCCTGAATCGCAGAACCTCCCTTTAGGGGAAGCGCAACGCAGGCGCGGGACCCGAGGAGCAGGGCCAGGAAAGGGCCCCCGCACACGGACCCCGGTGGGTGTGACTCGGTGTCCGCATTGAGGCTCTTGAACCCGCGCCTAGGCGTTTTAGGAGCGGGTGTCGCGGGTGTATTTCTTGAACAAACTCGGGTAACTGACTCTCTCCCGCACGCTTGGAGTTGCTCTTAGGAAGTTGGAACGAGCCTGGGCGTCCAGGCTTGGAGACTGGGAGGGGTGGTGGGGGAGAGAGGTACCTAAGGAAAGGTGGCGCTCAGGGAGGAAGGTGGGCTTTTGGGGGTCGGTGTGCGCTGACTTCCCCGCCTCTATTGCAGGGGAGGGGCCTGGGAAGAGGCGGTGCGCCCGGCGGGGTGGGCGTTTGCCGGGGGAGGTCCGGGTGCCCGCCGTCCCCCCGCGTTTGGGGAGGCGGCGCGCGGGTCGGGAGGAGAACCCGGGCGAGTAGCCAGGGCCCGCGAGCTACCCCAGCGGCGGGCGGGGCGCGGAGGAGAGGACTGCCCGCAGCTAGGAGAGGAGGCGTTGCCTGGGATCCCGGGGTGCTGCTGCCGCAGCCGCGCCACCTGCGACCCACTGGGTGGAGGAGTGACCGCGAATACAGTTTCTATCAGGGAGAAGGAGAGCGTCTCCTCACATCCTTTGCTTCTCAGCATCGGGCGGAGGCCAATTGCTCTCTGTCCACCTCCTCTCGCCCACTGGGTAGCAGAAGCAGTCACTTGCCCACTGGGACTTCGCACTGCCGGGCGAGTGTGGAGAGCAGGGAGCTCCTGCGCCGTTTTCCAGTCGCCGTCCTGTGGTCAGCCCTCCTCCTGGGGGCACAGTCGTACATGGGGCCTTCATTTCACTTCTAGGGGTTCCAGATTGTGGAATTAACTAAACAACCGTCCGCGTTCACAAAACAGCCTGAATCCCTCCCAGGACTTGGTAAGGACGCGTGTAATAAAATGACTCTGTAAAGTCTTACTTTTTGCTCATAGCCTAATTTTATACGGGGCTTCATCCTGTCTATCTTCTGTTCATTAAGTGGCATCTTTGGTGTCACATATCAGCAACTCATATGAGAGGCAATACTGCCTAACGGGTAAGAGTCCTGGGCTGTGTGATTGGTTTCAAATTCCAGCCTAGCTGTGTGACCTTAGGCAAGTTACTTAACCTCTAGGTGCCTTAGTTTTGTCATCAGCAAACTGGGGATAATAAAAGTTCCTACCTCATAGGGTAGCTGCCACAATTCAGTAAATTAATATAGTAGAATTCTGGTATATATCAAACACAAGCTTTTTATTTTTTTTTTTTTTTATTTTATTTTATTTTATTTTATTTTATTTTATTGCTAAAAGTATTACAAAGGGTATTACATATGAAACACAAGCTTTTATTACTGCTATTATGTTGATGCTAAATTAGCCAAGTAAACTTCAAAATATAAAAATGAGAAGGGGAAAATGCATATAATGAAGTGGATGTCCATCATGAAAATTAGAAAAAACAGTAAATATTTTCTATGTCAGTATCTAAATTTAAAAACAATGCATTTCTACATCTTCTGGAACCTTTTCTTTTAAATAATTATGAAATATTTACATACAAGGTTTAAACATCATTTTAAGAAAATTATCTCTAACCTTGAATATATTTCACTTTGTAAAACCAGATATGCATAAAAAATACATATTAGAACATGGTCTATACAAAAACCCAACATCTACATGAAAATATTGTACCTTCGGAGCTAGAAATGCTGACATCTCTAAGATCATTTCAAACATTTTAGCCAAAATGCCCTTGATATCAAGAATACTGTCTGGCCTGCATGGCTCAGTGGTTGAGCATAGACCTATTAACTAGGAGGTCATGGTTCTATTCCAGGTCAGGGCACATTCCTGGGTTGCAGGCTGGATCCTCAATCTGAGACAGCCAATCAATGATTCGCTCTCATCATTGATGTTTCTATCTCTCTTTCCCTCTCCCTTCCTCTCTGCAATCAATAAAACTATATTTTTTAAAAAAGAATACCAAATGATAAAAGTCAGGTTACTAATTTCAACTCCTTCACTTTACACATGAGGAAACATTCAGAAAGGTCGAGGGCCCAGGCCAGAGATTTCCAGCTAAATGGGGACTGAAACAGCATTAGAATTAGGTCTTCTGAGTCACTCCCCAGGGCTCTTCAGCACCACACTGATGATTTCCTACAAAACTGATGAACTTCTAGCAAATAGGAAATCAGAGGTATTATATACGGGAAAATATACAAACGTGTTAACTCCAACATAAGTGAGACCAGGCAGTGATGCGGCTACTGTTGTCCCACAGCTTCCTCATGGTCCCTCACAGCAGAAGATGTGACCGCATGACTTGCCTAAGGTAAGCTAAGGTCATAGATCAAGCTAGAGGTATAGCCAGCATTAGAATTTAAGGTCTCACTGGAATATACATTTGGTTGCATATTCTATTAATCCCTTGTAACGGTTTTACATTTGAAAAATCATTTTTGAGCTTTTCTTAAAATTTTAAAATCTCCTTCCTACTGGCTTAGAAGGTCTTTCCTGTAAAAAGAGCTTTTTAGGAAAGGTCTTCAAAATTATAAAGAAGGAGATTTTATTATTCCAGATTTTGTGGACAAGCAAGAGTGAACGTGAAAAAAACTTTCTTATTTTAGAGCAATAACCTGGTTACTGGTTTCATTCCAGGCATTTGAATAGCAGTTTCTTTAATCCTAGTGTTCTTTCATTCCTGCATGTGGCAGTGACATTCACCTAACACAGACAGATGCAGTGGCTTAAAGGTCCAAGCCCTCACATGAGCAGTTCAGGAATTCTATGGCAGAACCTTTCAAGTGAGTATGTGGTTTTGCAAAGTTATTTATAGGAATGGTGTCTTCCAGAAAAGGCATTTCTAGGAACTGTGCCTGCATCCTTGAAGCAGGAAACCTTGATTTTTCTTTAGTGCATAAACTGGATGTCTTATCCTTGACTTTGTATCTCTGTATACCCACCACATGTT